TGTTACTTTAGGGCATGCTCAAGATTGCGCACCAAGCGAGATTGGTCCAGGGAGCATGCGGGCCTCCTCGTGCAGGTGGTGTTGCGGCGACATCAGAAGGCATCCTGTCGCTGTCCTGAGTGCCGTGTTCAGGCAAGTCTGTAGGGGAGAGGGTTAGGCTCCGTGCAGTGAAGAAGCGAGAAAGCTCGGCGAGATAGCCGTTTACTTTCGAGCACAAGTCATCAATTCCATTCGCAGACTCCATGATCGAACAATCCTCAGTATAAGCGACTATCGGGACTCGCTCTCGTGGTTGAGGGAGCTTTGAAATGTAAAAGTTAAACAGTACTGGGGAAAGGGCAATGCTCTGCGTGAAGTTTCTGGTTGGAGCCCTCGTCCAGGCACGTCAGAAGGCATCTTTACGAACTGAGGGACGAAGTCCAGAGGTTCATCAAACAACCTCTGGACCCGACAGCTTATCGACAGGCCTTGAACGGCATTCACAGAGAGGCAGTCTCGAGTTATGTAGACCCGCGACCTGTGAATGCCGTTCTGGGCATACAACCACCAGACGTGGACGAGGCAGAACTTCGTCTGCCTCGGGAGACTCGGACCACAATAGCCCAACTGCGCTCTGGTTACTGCAACTCATACCTGAGCAGATTAAACAAAGATGTTCTCAACGAATTCCCGGCATGCGGAGAGTCGCCCTATGACTCTCAGCATCTCTTCGTATGCCCTCTAAATCTCACCTCCCTAACGCCCTGTCCCTATGGACAGACCCCGTCGAGGCGGCACGCTTCCTGGGGCTACCGCTAGTAGAGCTTGACGACAACCATTCGAGATTAGGATCTTCTCGATTCGGTACTTCTTTCTTGAAAGACGCCTGGGAAAGTTCCCAGGGGCTTCAAGAACTTGAAAACTACTACTCTATGCATGTCGTCCCTGCGGAGCAGAACTACAGAGACCTGGGAGCTCAGCTTGTCCCTGTTGGTGGATAACGAAACCTTACATTTACCAAAGCCCTCTCGCAAAATTAATGAGAGTCCGCTTCGCAGCTTGTTCAACTGATATATGCAATGGCGCTGCCGTCGGACATTTCTGCATTGCCCCGTACTGCAAACAAACGCCAGGCGTTGAATCTCGGTGAGGGACTGCATCTCGGTTGCTAGGATAGTCTTCGAAGCCCAAGCCACCGCCCCTTAGGTT